AGTGTTGCTGTCTAAAGCAGAAGGAATTTCAAGGTTTCAATGGAAACTTCGAGAAATGTTGTTGAGGAATTGGATAAAACTCTTTATGATTTTATTTGGCGTAAAAAGGCTCACTATTCAAAGACTTCAGAGGCCTTGAAGTGTTAAATTTTACAGATCTCAATGATGTATTTAAGATAAAATGGATAATTGAATACATTAAAAATAGAGAAACTTTGTGGCATATCTTTCAGGATTTTATATTTAACTCTTTGGGTGGCCTAAATTTTCTTCTAAAATGTAATTTCTCTATTGATAAAATCCCTATTAAATTGGCAAGTTTTCATAAGCAGGCATTGTTGGCTTGGCAGTGGGTCTATAATCATAATTTTACACCTCATTGGTATTTTCTGTGGAATAATAAAGATATCTTGTACAAAAGGAAGTCTATATTTATTCAATCATGGTATGACAATGGAATATGTACAGCCAGTCAGTTACTTGATGAACATGGATTACTTCTGTCAAACTCAGAATTTCTTAATGTAAAGTTCCTGTAAAACCAAAAGACTCTGCTGTTATTTTTGATGCAATACCAAGTAAACTGTATCACTGTTGCGTAATTAATATACAATGTGGACCAACAGCCAAAGACAAATGATGAGGTTTTGTATATTGGTGATATTAACATTGTTAAAGATAAATGTAGTAATAGATATATTAGAAATGTATTAAATAACATCATCAACAGGCTTCTGGTCATCAAAATTTGGAAACATTGAGTGGAAGAAAGTATGGTTACTAACACAAATTAAATTTTTTTATAAGTAATAAAAGTAAGACAGGTATCATTTAAAATTTTACACAGAATTTATCCAGTGTTGGAATATCAAGCTAATTGCATGCGTGTTCAATAAGAAAAGGTCTGGAGAGGTTTTTCTTCAATGGCAAAAATATTAGTAATTTATTAGATACAAGTGAATAACTGGATGACAGAGCTCTGGGTTACGTTACACCAATGTAATACAAGAATTACATTCAAGAGGTTCGCAACTGACATATATTCCCTGACTCCAGCATATATACACAACTGATCTTAACAGGTGGAGTTTTGGTTTAACGTCACTTGTCAGTCATTCTGCAGTGCTTTGGCTCTTTGTAACCCCTAGACATACTTCCTCTTTCTGCAACTCTTCTCTGCATACCAGAACTGAACAATTACGTGCATCTTTAATATATTTCACAACTTCTCCAAAGATCATGACAACTTGTGACATGTCCAGACAGCAGTCTGGAACAAACCTAAATTAATTCTTATTCTGCTTTTTCCACTAGTCAGCAGTTCTTCTAAAAAGTATGCAGCACAGTAAAAAAGAGGAAGTGTGTCTGGTCAAGATATGTTATAATACAATAGAACAGATTGATTAATCTGATGTCAGTCTAAACATTTTTCTAATAAAAAATAAAGACACAAAAGTAATAAAAATAAATTCCTTTTCCCCCACACCAGTAAAATTTGAACAGTTTGGAGTTGATAGAGAAAACTCTTGCGATTTTTGTGGTATTATTAAAAAATCTGTCACTCATCTGTTTTTTTCAATGTGTATGCTCAAGATTATTTTGGATTAATGTTTCTAACTTTATTTCAAGGACATTTGGTACACTAATACAAATTGGGTTATACGATATTTGTACAAGATGGAATTGATTCATAAACATGTTTTCTTATACAACTAATAATATTACTTGGAAAATACCATATTTATGTCAAGAAATGGGCCAAAGCTAAGCCAAATTGTGTTCATTTTATAAAGGAGATTAAACAATATGGCACTACATTATGTAACAGCGTGTGGTCTTTGACTGTTTTGCAAGTCAAGAAGGTTCATCCATAACTGATCACTTACTTCAAGGTCCTGATCTGATAAACAGTCTGCACGATATTCTAAATCGATTTTGGGGCTGCTTCATCTGCAGGTTGTGTAAACTACAGCTTGAAACATCTTGCAACTGAAAAAAAGAGAGTTGTATCCACTGAGTTCACAGTTGTTGCTTAAGAACTTCTATGTTGACGACGGTGTGATCAGCGTGGAGAATGTGGATGAAGCCATTAAGGTTGCAGACGAAGCACAACATCTCTGTGCGCTAGGTGGGGTACGACTGCACAAGTTCCTGTCTAATAGTAAGCTTGTATTGGAAGGCATCCCTGTATCAGAAAAGATGTGTGATGTAAAGGGCCTGGATCTTGCATTTGATGAATTGCCATTAGAGAGAACACTTGGATTACAGTGGGATAGAGAATCTGACTGCTTCAAGTTCAAAGTACACCTGAAAGAACAACCTGCTTCTCAGCGTGGCTTATTATCTACCGTCGCTTCTGTTTATGACCCATCGCACCTGCTCTCTTGAATGGAAAGTGAATACTGCAAGAATGGCAGTAGTTGGGATGAATCTCTAATGCAGGGGTGTCCAAACTTGGTCCTGGAGGGCCGGTATCCTGTAGAGTTTAGCTTCAACACACCTGCCAGGAAGTTTCTAGCATATCTAGAAAGAGCTTGATTAGCTGGTTCAGGTGTGTTAGATTAGGGGTGGAACTAAACTCTCCAGGACACCGGCCATCCAGGACTGAGTTTGGACACCCCTGCTCCAATGGATGGACTGAGCTTAAGATGGGTGCGATGGAATCAAGATTTACAAAGTCTGCAAAACTAGACATACCACAAACATCTGTACCATTGGACTTTGGGACAGCAGTTAGTGTTGAGTTGTATCATTTCCCTGATGCTAGTACTGATGAACATGGTCAATGCTCTTGCATAAGACTCAAGAATGAAGAAGTAAATGTTCATTGGGCACTAGTAATGGCAAAATCAAGAGTTGCACCTCTTAGACTTGTAATGGCTCTAGGTTTAAACTAGCCACTGCTGTTGTTTGCATGAAAGTAATATACTCAAAAATGAGCTAGATCATCCTGTTGCTAATGAGACACTTGATTGTAAAGTGGTGCTGGGGTAAAGGTAATGAAACACGCAGATTTCACACCTTTGTTGCAAACTGGGTGCAAAGAATATGCCGCAGTACAACAACTGAACATTGGAAATATCTTCCAACAGAAAGCAATCCTGCTGACTATGCATCTAGGGCTCTGACTGTACAGCAGGTACTTGCCTTGGATTGGTTCACCGGCCCAAAATTTCTGTGGGAAATTCCAACTGAGCCTGCTCCTGCTCTTTTATTGGGCGATCCAGAGGTAAAGAGCCTTTTTACCTTGAATACAGAGAGTACAAAGAGCTTTACTTTGGCTGATCACTTAACGAAATGTTCTTCATGGACCAAGGTAGTTAAAGCTGTAGCTCGTCTCTTAAAGAGAGCCAACAAAGACAGATCTAGTAATCCTAGAACCATGCCAGAGAGACAAAAGGCACAACTCCATATCATCTAATGTCTACAAGAGAGTAAATGAGGTAAAATGTGGGAGAAATGTGTCAAGTGGGGCATTACGTCCTCTTGAATCTTTCGTTGATATTGACGGTGTGCTTATGGTGGGAGGAAGATTTACTCGTTCAAGTTACCCAGACTCATCCCATAATTATCCCAAAGACACATGAGATTACATAAACGATCATTGCTCATTGTCATAATAAAGTTTGGCATCAAGGAAAATAATTTTCTGTGAATAAGATTAGAAGCAATTAGTTCTAGATCCCATCAACACAGTTGTGGCATCCTTCATTAAAGGTTGTGTTATCTGCAGAAAGCTCAGAAGACCTGTTGAGGAACAAAAACTGGCTAGATTAAAGACCTCAAAACTAGATTAAAGACTTCAAAACTAGATTAAAGACCTATCTGTTTAGTAAAGCATACACTCAATGCATCACCTAGCGGGTTCCACACTGGCTTCTACATCTTGCTTATATACACTATGAACAGCAGCTACGCTAATTATTCTCTTTATTCTCTATTTTCACCTGGGGATACTCATCCCGAGGTCCTCAGATTATGCGGAGTCACTGATTGGATCCAAGACCAGCGACGTGATGATCCCAAGGATTCCATATCCGGGACCAGGCCATATCCTGAGCTGCTGCTGCGCTGATGGTCGTGGGGAGTGGAGAACATGAGTCTGATTCCAGCGACGCTCCAGGGACAGACGAGTCTTCATTGAGGCCATCTTCCAGCATAAACCACGGCGAATGAAGTTCTGCACAAGACTTTTGGCCAGCGGAGAAATTAAAATGGTCGTGCCCAACTGAGTCTGGTTCTCTCAAGGTTTTTTTTCTTCACTCCCATCAGGTGAAGTTTTTTTTCCCTCTCCGCTGTCGCCACTGCCTCGCATGGTTCAGGATTGGTAGAGCTAAGCATCGATGAATTTGCTCTTCAGTGTTTGAACTCTCAGTAATGATTAAATCACACTGAACTGAGCTAAACTGAACTGAACTGAACTTAAACACTAAAACCTGAACCACACTGTTCCAGTCACTATGACCATTTATGTGAAGCTGCTTTGACACAATCTACATTGTAAAAGCGCTATACAAATAAAGCTGAATTGAATTGAATTGATCTTCCGGCAGAAATAGTCAATCAATCTCCTCTGTTTATGCACACTGGGGTGGATTGTTTTTGTTCGTTTTGCAGTCAAGTCTGGACGAAATGTGCACAAAGGTATGGCCTCTTGTTGACGCGTCTTTGTTCTTGTGCTGTACACATTGAACTACTAAATGACTTGACTGATTCCTTTACAAACGCTCTTTGTTGTTTCATTGCCATAAGAGGCACAGTTCAGCAGCTGAGATCTGATCGAGGGACCAACTTTGTGGGAGCAAAGAATTACCCAAAGGGTGCACTCCAGATCCAGAAAGATGAACCACTTTCCTATCAGAATATCAGTGTGAATTCATTATGAATACGGCTTTCATGGTTTGCTCACATTTTGGTTTCGTTTATCTGTTGTATACAAAGATTTTCCAGAGACTTGTGTGAATGTTGCCCTCAAATAAATCATGGGAAATCACCAGTGATAGAGTCAATCCTTTATTGAATCAGAGAGCTACAGAGGACACGAACTGAAAGATGATCAACGTGAATCCCGAATGGAAATGAGTTTAGAGTTGCACTGTTCAAAACTGAATTCAGAGTTTCTCTAATAGCAAACAACATCAGTTTTCCTGCTCATATTTTAATGTTGTGTGTGATTATGGTCTTTTCACCTTCACTCCTGATTGAAAACAGCCTCACACACCAGAGAATCCTCTTCTGCACTGATGTCATGTGTGCTGCTTTTCTCCAGTGTGGACTTTCAGGTGTTTCTTAAGCTGCACCGAGTGTGTGAATCTCTCCAGACACTGATCACATGAGTACGGTTTCTCTCTAGTGTGGATCTTATGGTGTCGATTCCGATAGGCTAAACACTTGAATCTCTTATCACAGTGTGAACACTTGTACGGCTTCTCTCCAGTGTGGATCTTATGGTGTCGATTCCGATCTGCTAAACACTTGAATCTCTTATCACAGTGTGAACACTTGTACGGCTTCTCTCCAGTGTGAGTCCTCTCATGTAATTTCTGATATTCTAAATGAGCGAATCTCTTGTCGCAGTATGAACACTTGTACGGTTTCTCTCCAGTGTGGATCCTCTGGTGCAGTTTCAAATGGTCAGGTTTAATGAAAGTCTTCTCACAGTCAAAGCACATATACTCCTTTACACCAGTGTGGATCTTCTGATGTTGTTTTAAATTTGACTGTGTTGTAAATCTCTTTCCACACTCAGAGCATGAATAAGGCTTCTCCTTTGTATGAGTCTTAAGATGACGTTTCAGCGTTGACGCCCTAAAAAATGCTCTGCTACATTGATCACATCTGTGTTTTCTCTCTCCAGTGTGGGTCATCATGTGTTCTTTAAGGGATGATGAGAGTCTGAAACTCTTCCCACAATGAGTGCATGAAAACGGGTTCTCTCCAGTGTGAATCCTCATGTGTACTTTAAGGGATGATGAGAGTCTGAAAGTCATCCCACACTGAGTGCATGTGAATGGTTTCTCTCCAGTGTGGATCATCATGTGTTCTTTAAGGGATGATGAGAGTCTGAAACTCTTCCCACAATGAGTGCATGAAAACGGGTTCTCTCCAGTGTGGATCATCATGTGTACTTTAAGGGATGATGACTGTCTGAAAGTCGTCCCACACTGAGTGCATGTGAATGGTTTCTCTCCAGTGTGGATCATCATGTGTTGACTGAGACTACTTTTGTTTCCCAGAGTCTTCCCACACTGACTGCAGGTCAAACATTTCTTGTCTCTTTGCATTAAAGCATCTTCAGTCTGTAAATGAGGTGTTTTCTCAGCTTTTAGGAGTTCATCATCTTCACTCTCTTCACTCTCTTCAGTAAGATCTAAAATCAAAGTAAAAAGGTTCAGTTTTTAGTGCAACCCCAATTTAGAAAAGGTTGGGACAGTCTGGAAAACACAAATAAAAAAAGAAAGTAGTTTTTCATTGCAGACAATATGAACTACACATGGGCCGGTATAAGATTCTGACGGTGTAAAAACCCTGGATAAAAATATCACAGTTGCACGGTTAGGGCTGCAACAACGAATCGAATAAATAGATAAAAATCAATTACTTAAAGTGATGGCAACGAATTTCATTATCGATTCGTTGTGTCGCGCGACACGGAGACGTTTGATAAAATTTTTTTTTTTTTTTAAAAAGAACACTAGTTCAGCACCACCTCTCCGTCTCTCACGCACTGATACAGTTTACCGCTTCAAAGACAGGGATGATGCGGAAGAATCACTACAGAATCCTATTTTTGTTCCGTTTTGAAGTGAGAACTGTAAAGTCCCTGTTGCTGGTGTCTGGCGCTGAGCCAGAGAAACACGGCGGGGTTAAGTTGGTTTTGTTTTCGGTATTTCTGACACATTCAGTGATAAACGGCATTAACTGAAAACACCTCTTACCCTAAAAAGATCTAAAGTGTGTTTCCTACAAAAAGACAAAGCAGGTTATGTTTCACAGCAGTCTTTTTCTTTTTTTCGCTCGACATTACGAGCACTGCTCCGTTCAAGCAGTCGCAATATGCGTTTAGCCAGGAGAGCTCGCGCTCTCAGTAAGGGACCGTCGGAAAAGTGCTTCTTTTTCCCGTTTTTTTTCTTATCGAAAACAAAACCAACTTAACTCTGAAAGACGTGTCATATTATCACAATTATGCAGCGTTTTAACCGCCTAATACTTCATTTATGTTTTAGATATGTAAATACACTAGTGCTGTCAATCAATTAAAAAAATAACTAATTAATCACACTTTTTTAAAAAATTAATCGCGATTAATCGCATTTAAAATACTGAAACTTGTCATTTTGGCTATTCAAATGTAAAACTAATGTAAACGCAAGAAAAAACTATTTACATTCACAATATAATTGTTTATAAGAATTTTTGTTTTACTTGTAACACAGATTTCTTCATGTAAACAACATACCCACAATAAACCATCAAGATCCTGCTTGACAGCCATATTTATTACACAAATAAAAACAAATTGTTAATGACATTTGAATTTCAAAACAAACAATACCAATAAAGAAAACATTGATTTCCATGTTGGATTCTAAGTGGACTGCAAAAAATGCCAAAATACAGGCGCTACAGATAGGGATGCACCGATATGGATTTTTTGGCCGATACCGATAACCGATAATTCTTCAGACTTGGAGGCCGATAGCAGATATGTATAGGCCGATAATTATAAATATTTAAAAATGGTATATTCTTATACAGCAAACTTCATAAAAGCTTGAACTGCTCTTATGAACTGAATAGTCTATACTCAAAGCAAACAAGCTTTAACTTCAAAATGCAAGCTGATTATAGACCTATATTCACCATTTCACATAAATCAGCATGCAAAAAATACATTACTTCCCTTTCTTCAAAGCAAATTAACATGCAACTTGACTGTTGTATAAAAATAATAGGTTAAATAAAAAAATGGGATTTAATCAATAAGCAAGTTAAATATATTTAAATAAGACGAAAATGAAAGAGGTAAGGGCTGAAACCAGCTCAAATGATCTTGAATAAACGTGTTACAGTGATGTACACATGTACAAATATGTCATGTCAGAAAAAGCCTTTATCATAGGTGTTTTGACAGTTCAGAGCCACCGTACAAGCCAACAGCTAAATACAGAGAGTACGTTTAGAAAATGCGGCACAGATTCATCCTATTTGGCGTTTTAGATTCTTTTGAACACACGTTGGTGCTGCTTGTCAATCAGACAACGTTTCTGCGCTCGTTTTAGCTGTCAATCGCGGGAAAATGATTGATGAAAAGTTTATGATAAACCGCTGTGAGTTTCACTTAACTGTAGAGGCAGAGTCGCCATCAGTCAGATTTTCATACAAAACCTGCATTGAGCTGACTTCATGACAAACACAGAGCAGAATATAAAGACAGAATGACGGTGACAGCTCGCGCGCTCGTTATAATCAATATAAATATTCCGATCAAACTGAATACAATCTTACATCAACAACACACGGCAAGCAACCCGTTGATAACAACAAATAATCAGATTACTATGAAGGTAATTCAGTTGCGAAACTCGAGAGCTTGCAAATGTAAATGTGAGCACTTGTGATAATAATATTTGTATGTGTAGGTTGAAATGTACACTTACAGCTCTGATGTGAACAGCTGAAATCCTCGATTTGCACACACACACAACAATCCACACACTTGTGTTTTGAATTGGAAGTTGCAGATTAATAGTTGTGTATTTGTAAAATGTCATTCACAAATACAAAGTGACAGACACATGTGTGCAAGGCAAATTTGACTGCATCTTCGCTCTACAACCACAGGTCGGCACTCACAACCTCTCAGATTCATCAGTACAACTACAAATCTCCCGCGCTCTGACTTTTGCTACACATCTCCCGCAATCTCTGTATCAGAACTCATCTGTGCACTCGCAGATGCAGAGGCGTGAGCAGCGCGGGGCGGGGGAGGGGCGGGGCTGGTGTAAAGCTGTTTCATTGGCTGAAGCCTGACCAATGAACAATGCCAGCAGCCAACAGGACTGAGGTGCAAAATAATCATTTCCCACGATTATTTTATTATTTAGGGTTTATTTAAACTCTTTTCTGAAGAGATTTTTGTTAAAAATCATACATTCTGTGGAAATGTACATACCAGTAAAAGAGCAGCAAAACCAGTTTATTGGCTACAGCCAGCCAATGAGATGGGGCGTTTCTGTTTGTCAGCACAAACGTGATATTTGATTCGAGGAGCTGCTCTAAGCGTGTATTTTTCATGCAATGTTTGATACCGCACGGCGAATGAGAGAAAAAAAACTCTGCATTTCCCAGAAACTTGGATACACACGGCAGGTAGTGTCAGAAAGCCGCGTGTGTTATTCCGGTCACTAAATCCAACACGAGGTTATAGTTTGGTTGTAACTGTTAGTGCTAACTATTGCACTCGGTGCAATAGTTTGTTTGATACGAATAAAATACGAACTGTATAAACAAAGAGCACTGGTCGCTCACTTACCAAATCTGTAGAGACAGGACAATCACCAGCAACTAGAGCCGCGTCTTTATTTAACGTTAGAGGAGACTACAATCTGGATCTCAGCGTTTGCAGATGAGAACAGCTCTCAGGTAAACAATAATCCTCCTTAGACACGTAAGTTATTGTTGTCGAGCGTCGCGTACACTGTTAATCCACACGTGACTCTGAGCTCTCACAGAGACAAAAACAAAACTTCACTGCAGCAAACTATAAAAGCAACACTTCACGCTTGTTTTGCCAACACAACGTGGCGTCTCTGTCGTCTAAACACTGTGACAGTAATGAATATTAATGAAGTTGCACAATAGAGCGCGCTGATTGGTTTGAACCAAGCTTTACTCATGCATTAATGCATCACACTGTAAGACGTAATAAGACACACTCTGGCACAGACGTCCAGTCTGCACGCTGGAATACACGCTATTATCTCATGACCGTGACGCAGCTTCAAAAATTCGTTTCAAACCGGAAGTACGAATTTGCTTGAAATAACGCAAAAACAACCAATTTACACTTTTTAGTGAAATATAGGTGTCCTAATAGTGTTTTTAGCAGTGTGGGACACATATACCACTGTCAACAGCTCAACACATGTGCTCTGGTGTTTCGTGACCCTTTAAAGTATCAAGGTGAGGTTGTATGCAAATTTCATGCCGGAAAAATAAAAAAGTTTGTGAACTCTTGTCACTATTTAATATAAAGTTACCCGCACAAACTGCCCTGATTCTGAAGCGGAGATTTAACTGATATGAAAAGTGTCCAATCACAGCTGACCTGGTCAAACAGGGAGACAAAGGCCTTTTCGTATTGCAAAAATAAATAAATAAAACACAGAAATGAAGACAAATGTTTTATTGGAATAATACTTTTCAGATGTTTTCCCCATAGAGATGTCCATGTTAATAACAAGAGTAAATAAACCACGGATATTTTTATTTACTAAAATGTGTATTATTTTAGCGATTCAACAGTGCTTTTACTTGAGTACACATTTTCAGTTCTCTTCCATCTGCGAGAACATCAACACATAATAAAAACATCTCACAAGCTCATTTATTATAGGTTTATTGTATTATTAATGTTTTATCTGTATTAATCGATAGATTCTCATTTGTCATGGGTCATGGTCATGGGGGCAGCAGTCTTAGGAGAGAACCCCAGACTTCCCTTTGCCCAGACACTTCCTCCAGGAGGATCCTGAGGCATTCCCAGGCCAGCCAAGAGAGAGTAGCCGCATTTCCACTATCAGGCCAGTGCGAGCCAGGGCTTATATCGGGCCAGGCCGGGCCAATCGCCCGGGAGGTTGAGCAGTGAGGCCGAAATCATGTCGCGTTTCCACTGTGGGGCTAGTAGCTCGCAGCGCGTCACGCAAACCCCGCCCCCAGAACATCCCCCAAATCGAACGTCACTCAATCCGCCCACTTCAGCGGGAATCAGGCAGATAAAGCACATCATCATGAAACTATTAAAATTAGGACAACCAAAACAAACAAATGACACGTTACTGTACAGCAGTTCAACGCATGTCTATACGCACATGCCTGTGTGTTTTCATTCATCATATTCATTTACTCGCCGACCGACTGGCATCGAAATCCAGTGGTCTTGCCACCAACGGACGGACCCGGAGCGCAGGGAGCACACACATCCATAATATAACACCACATATATAAAATTCTCCGTTAATAACTCGATATAAAATGTATTTTATAACATCCTCTAGACAGAATCTGTCCAACATTCATCCCAAATGCTCCGGAGAGAACTGAAACATGATTTTTTTCCCCCTATAGGCTTTATGACACTAGGTTAGGTGATTTACCCTTTATTTAAAGATGTTGCTTATTATATCTTAAGTAAAGGAAAGTGTTCAGTGTTTCAGCACATAAGAGCAGCACGTAATAAAATATAGCCTATATTTCGTTGCGCTCAGCAGCTATGCACTAATAAAGCTCTTTATGTATTTAAAATGTCTTTTTATATTTTTAATTTTACCACGTTATATAAAAACACACACACTTGTTTGAGGACACAGAACACATTTTGAACTTGCAGTTTTCCCCGTCAAAAAAGTGCTGCGCAGCTGCAGACAGAAAAAAAGGTCGCCTAGTTTCTGCGTTCACTCACCCCGAAAATGCTCTGTTTGCATGATTTGATTAATTTCATCGTATCCAAATACTTTATAAATAATATTTAAAACATTTTCCGGTGTTTATTTATTTTTATTTTTTTAGAAAATATCTAAAATCTTTTTTTCAAAGAGGCTTTTGAAAAATGAAAGTTTAATATAAATTTGAAACAGTTTGATATAGTACCTAATTGTTATAGCTATAGCTTTTGTTAGTTTTATATTGGTTTATTTATTTAATGTGATTTTATTATAGGCCTATCTGATATTTGTAATTCTTTAAATTATTTCAATATAGGGCTATTTTAACTAGATATGACACTATTGTTTTGAGCCTACAAAAGTGGACATGAAATTTGTAAAGTTTAATGTCCTACTGTTGTATTCATATAGTGTATTATCTCCGAAATAAATTAAAACAATAAAAAGAAAAGAAAAAAGCCGCTCGCGGCATCAACAGAGCTATGAATGGAGCGCTCTTTTTTTCGGTCTCACACACACACACAGGCATCTAAACGCGCAAAAACACACTTACAGTATTAAACTTGACAAAACCTCTTGAAAACCTTTACTGTCTGCTGTGTCTTTAATATGGTGTAAAGATTATTATGCGTTACTGAAACATCAAAGATGCAGCAAAGAAAGATCATTTTATGCAACAGTCTTACATTTAAAAGAGAAATTAAGGGCGATCATATGCAAAAAAGACCCCAGCCTATAATTTGTTCCAGATGTTTTCTTTCCCTTATTTATTTATGTGTTTGGCGCATGTACTCGAGTGCGATCGGAAAACTGTGCCCGCCTCTCCTTTCACTCCGCCCCGAAGCCCCGGCTGGCCCTCCTTGGCCCAAGGTATTCGGCGGGCCGAAAAAGGCTGGCCGTTGGCCCCGAGAAAGCCCCGCTTTGGCCCGATTAGGCCCCGGAAGTGACAGTGGAAACGCCACTGGCCTTGGCTCGCCCTGGCTCGCTCGCTTTAGGCGCGATAGTGGAAACGCGGCTATTGTCCTACTCTAGATTGTCCTGGGTCTTCCCCGAGGCCTCCTCCCAGAGGGACATGCCTGGAACACCTCCCTAGGTAGGCATCCAAAACTGATGCCCGAGCCACCTCAGCTGACTTCTCTCCATGTGGAGGAGCAGTGGCTCTACTCAGAGCTCCTCACAGGTGTTAAAACACTTCATCACTTGGTGTCTTCAGGCCCTAAACGTCTTTTAAGTGTCGTGTAAAGGAACGGCAACATTATAAAGTGGTAAACGCTGCACTGATATGACTTTTGTTGAAAGGTGTTGCAGGAAGCAGCATTGATGTACGCGATTATTTAAAATAAAGCAGTAAAATGATGAGGAACAGATTAAATCATGTTTGCTGTATTGTCTGCAATGAAACACAAGTCAAAGTAAATGCAGAAACGGCTTCTTTCTCTCTTTATCTGTGTTCCCCATACTGTCCCACTTGATCTGATTTGGGGTCGTCAGTCATCAACAATCAGAGCAAAATGTGAAGTGAAAAGACTCCATTTGTAGACATTTCTTTTGTAGGTCTGCAGCATAAATGAAGATCCAGCACTTTTACATGTCCCATTTAAACAAACTTATAGATGTCAAATAAATGAGCTCAGATCAAATTTACTTGGGCCTTATGATCATAAATGTGTAATAAAGATGAAAATAAAAGACAGCTGAGTGTCCATCTCTGTTTCCCCCTGAGAATAGAAAGTGAATTTACACTTCTCCTTTTATTGAAACTCTTGAACTCTTTTGCCTATAGTGCAGACGATACATCAGATGAAGTGTTCAAAGCTTTTTCTGAATCAGGAATAAACACAAACCTGTTTGTTCTTCAGTGTCTTCATCTGTAATTCTGCAGGGTTCTGGATCACTCATCTTCCCACTGTCCTTCAATAAACTCAGATTTGACTTCTGTCTGAAGGTCTGATGCTCGTCCTCACTTGTAGACTGATGGGAATATTCCAGTATTTATAGCTGAAATGAAGGAGGAGGAGCTTCACTAACAGAGAAACAGATCTGCCAAGACTAATGTAGTGTAGCGTGTGCAAAACAAAGCCAGCGGCCTATTGATGTCTAATAAACCAATAGACAACACAAGAGATGAGCACATTCCACATCTACATTATAGAGATGAGCATGAGCACTTAAAGCACTTTTGCAGACTAATGAATGTGTCCAGGATCCAAACATCAGTCTACATTTATACAGAAACCACAGCTTTCATGTGCTGCACATAATCACACTCCATGAGTTTAGCTAGCAGTTAGCACCTGTGTGAGCTTGTGTTGGGGTAAAGTTGCTTTTATATTGGCACTTTCAGACGCTATTCTTAATAAAATCATTTCAGAAAAGTTTTATTTGCACATTCTGATTAGCCAAATCATGCTAGCAGCTAACAACAGTCAAAGTACAGCATTGTAAATAGTGCGGATGTTGTTTATGTGTCTTACAGGCGATTTGAGAGCGAATATTGAAAGTAAACAATATGAGGCCGTTAAAATGAGCTGTGTGAATGTAAAAGCAGCTTCAGCTCAATGTGTGCTGTTTCTCTGGCCTCTAACACAGTATACAGAATAATAATGAGTGCATGTAGAGCTCACACAGGAAATAAACAGCATTATTAAACATGTTATAACTCTTGTAAAATTAGTCAGCTTCACTCACGCTCAGTCTCCAGTAGTTTGCTCTCAATTCCTCTTCCTCAAGTTGATATTAAACGGGAATCTTCCTCTCTTTATCAGTTTTATCCACGATATCTCTCTCTGTCTCTCTGCCCGAGTCCTGTTTCACACTGCGCTCGCTTCTTCTTCTTCTTTAGATCCTGATGGCGGTTGGCAACAGACCTTATTGGCGCAATACCGCCACCGACTGGAGGATGGAACTGGACGTATTTAAATGTATATTGTCTATATTCTGATGCTTTCTGCAACAACTTTAATGACGTCATTATAACTTGCTAGGTATCCTAAAACAGACAATGTGAGATCATGAACTTTTCATTTATTTAATAAGGTGGTATCGTTACTAGTGTAATAATACACGTCTTTTGTTTCTTGTTGACTTCAGTGCAGACATTCCCCAGGTGGATGTTACACTGCTCTCTGTTAGAGTTCAAACAATAGTAAGAGAGAGATTCCCACACATTATGTGATAATTAAGAAATTAATAAATATGAATGTTATAATCAGTGGGTTGACAAATGTGAGAAGATTTAAAGGAATTTATGTAATAATTTGGCATTTGAATGATGAAATGTAGGAAAAAGGGAAATGCTTATATGCAAACCTTCCAAATGGCTACAGCTACAATGAAGAATATAATGTTGCCAGTTTCTGAAGTTGCAATAGTGAATTAAAAAAAGTAACAGGGCAGTTAACCGCACGCTTGGTATTTGTACTGGACAAAATGCACAATTCCCAAGATGATTTACCTTAATACAACAATATAAACAAATAGTAGACTATAACTGGATCTGTGGAAGGGGAATATTATGCCCCACTCTTCCACTAAATTGGAAAGGGATTTGTACTAGAGTTACATTTAAACAGGAAGTGATAATCAATGATTGGGTTAAAGAGCAAGATGACATACAAAGAATTGAGGAATTGAAAGCAGCAGAATTATATCAAGTTAAGAGAAATACACCTGACTCAGAAGTTTGCATAGATGCAATTGGCCAACCTAGAAGAATACCAGATGAGTTTAAAGTTAGAGGGTATAGACCTTTTTCTTGGAACGCAAAATTACCCATGATGCTTTGCGTGTATGCGCAAGGAGAATGCGAAGAACTTCCGGTCGGCAGCTGATGCGTGTAAACAGTCACATTTGGACAGCTCTGAAACGATAGTTTTACTCTATTTTACCTGCTTTTATCCTCTTTGAGCTGATACTGTTGTCCATCAGCAGCATCTCCTGGACTGATCATTTAAAGAAATGCGATCTAATAGGATGGAAAACAGCTGCTGTGAGGCGTTTTCCCCTCGTCAGACGGCATCTTCTGCAGTTTAAATGAAGCCTCGTCATCGCTAAAGTCAACATTTTCTCTTTATTTCAAATATATAACCAGCCCAAACACATGTCATTCAGCAAAATGTTTGACACACACACACGTAGCCTGTACTGTGCCACTGACACACTGATTTAATAACTGTGACAGTGAAAATACAGGCTAGTGTCATTCCAAATGACAGAAAAACACAAACCGTGGTGAAAACAACACACGAAATAAAACACAAACGACTCGCGATTAGAATGAACAGCAAATCAGCAGCAGAGGATCAATAACAGACTTTTATTGCTCATTTTTTGTAAATTGCACGACTTTCATACCTGTTAAGTTTCATGCCAGTACTCTGGTTTGCTCTCTCTCTCTCTCTCTGTGCGTGTGTGTGTGTTGAAGAGCCGCTGAGCTAACAGCTGACAGGCCGGGAACACACACACACACTGTATTTCTGACGGCACACGTGAACTAGGAGAACGTTTTTCTCGTATTTCTGACGCGCTTGAACCACATCGACAGATTATAACGGCTTTAACAGAAACATTTCTAAGTTGTGTGTCACAAAAGCACTCTGTTATCCATTAAAAACGTCATTGAAACCCATTTTCAGAGCGCAAATTACCAGTTGTAAACGCTGTAAACTGAAGTTTTTAGCATTCTACCGGAAGACGCTGGTCGCTATGGCGCCCTCCATGCAGCAGCCATGAAAAAGGTCTATAGTATTGTGGATAATTGCAATAAAAAAAAATGTAAGAATGGGTTAACTACATTTATTACAACCAACAAAGATTTAAAAATTAGCTTTAAAGCATTAGGAGAACAACTGGCTCTAACTAGTAAAATGGCTTGGTAAAACAGTGCACCTATATTCCAAATAATACTGCCCCAGGTGGATCTTTCACTGAAGCCATGCAAAAATTGTGAAATCTGAGAAAAGAAGTAAAAGAAAACGCTGGAGCAGATAAAAAAGTGACTAGATTGCTTCCATATTGTGCTGATTCGCCTTTATTTAATCACCCTAATTAAACAAAGATAAACCAGGATCCTCCCTTCGCTATATTTCTTAGCTAGAGTTTAGTTAAAGGATCGTCTTTAGAATGTATTTTGCAAAATAATAAATTAGATTCATACTTCACCACACAGGGTAACTTGATGCGTTCTGGAAAATGAATTCAATGTCCACTCCAGTGAAGAAAAGTAATAAAATACACTTTTATTAATAAAATAAAATCCAGTGAAAAAGTAGAATAAACAAAAGACCAATAACAGAAACAAAAATCCTTACTTTATCCTCCGTTGAGAATAAAGGGCAACAAACCCTGGTATACAGAAGTCAGAAAAGCGCAAAGCTGAAGAGTAAAAGTCAGCTTTTATACCCAGTGTCTCAGTGACAGTGTTCATAAATCAACCCTGAACACAGGTGCACAAACTACTAAAATCATACATTCAAGGAGCATGCTAAATCACTTGAACAGTAAAAAGACAGATATATAGTCATCAAGAGTACATTATATCATATAAATCAACATTTAGGCATTTTAATATAAGCCTTGATTTATAATGTGATATATAGTTATGCACTTAAATTCAGGTGCGTGAACTCGGTAGAAAGTTCAGCAAAAGTACAAGTTGGGAGTTCGTTCAGAGTTCGACTACGAGCAAGAGGGTCATCTGAAGTAGCAAGGGGTACACAGAGAGTTCGTCCAGCTGGTTTGTTGGCTCGGCGCGCCCTCTGCCGGAGACGCCTTTCCTTTCTCTTCCGTTTCACTTCATCATTAAGAGTTGTGCTTTTACGCATAGGAATATCAGAATACATCAGTGATTTTTTGCGTCTCACATGATTAATGTCATCTGATCGATCAATCAATACAATGTATGGATCATTAAGACAATAGTTTCTTAAGATTGTAATATTAATAAAAATGGCTATATTTGTTTTATTCTTCTTTTGGTTGTGTTATGCTTCTCAGATCGATGGCTGAAGCTGCTGCCAAGCAGATGGTCAATGTGCGAGTTAACAGAACTGTGGATGACTGCATAGATGATGTCTATGAAGTCTTTGGAAAAGATTTGGACACATTTGAAACAGTTTTGAAAACAATTACTAGCCTTAATGTCTTTTATCTTTAATGTCTTAAAAAATAAATAATAATAAATTCTTTAGCTTTTTACTAATTTTATAAAGGCTTTAAATCACAAAGATAAGAGTTTTAAGCCAGGCATCATCCATAATGTAGGAAAATGCAAATAGAAGGAACTGAACAGAACTTAAAGATTGTGTAATGATTTTAAGCCCTATTCACTATTATACATTTCTGTGTGTATTTAGGAGTTCATCGAAGCTGCCGGAGCTCATATCAGATGAACACGGGAAAAGAGGGAAGATGTTTTATGGGTCAAGGGACACCTCAATATCCAACAGCAAAGGAGAAGAAGAGCAGACTCTACTGGAGGTTTAAAGGGCCATGAAATCCCCTCGTTTCAGCAGGGTGTTTTCACACCTCTACTTTGGAAAAAGTCAGAAAAGTGGGCGTGTCCAGCTCTGTTTAGGGGGGAGTGTCGAAGGAACAAAAGAGGCATGGTGTGGGAGTGTCTATTTGGGCACGCGCTGACTTTCAGAGTCAAAACACACACACACAGCGGACAAAGTGACTGTGTTTACATGGACATCTGTAGTCAAATTATTTGCCAAATTATTAAATGGTGGACTTTAACTGCAGTTTGGCTCTTTCATTCAGGGATTTCATTCATGCCCCTCGTGGCAAACAAGATATTTGATTCGAGGATCTGCTCTAAGCGTGTATTTTTCATGCAATGTTTGATACCGCACGGCGAATGAGAGAAAAAAACCCTCCGCATTTCCCGGAAACTTAGATGCACACGGCAGGTAGCGTCAGAAAGCCGCGTGTGTTATTCTGGTCACAAAATGCGGTGAAAATCCTACACGAGGTTAAAGTTTGGTTGTGGTGCTAACATGTTTACACTCGATGCAATAGTTAACTTAGTTCAATACGAGCAAACTGAATAAACAAAGAGCACTGGACGCTCACTTACCAAATCTGTAGAGACAGGACAATCACCAGCAACTAGAGCCGCGTCTTTATTAAGAGGGGACTACAAGCGAATCCGGATCTCAGCGTTTGCAGATGAGAACAGCTCTCAGGTAAACAATAATCCTCCTTAGACACGTAAGTTATTGTTGTCGAGCGTCGCGTACACTGTTAATCCACACGTGACTCCAGCTGCGCTCTCACAGAGAGAAAATGAAAACGAAACTTCACTGCAGCAAACTATAAAAGCAACACTTCACGCTTGTTTTGCCAACACAACGTGGCGTCTCTGTCGTCTAAACACTGTGCCAGTAATGAATATTAATGAAGTTGCACAATAGAGCGCGCTGATTGGTTTGAACCAAGCCTTACTCATGCATTAATGCATCACACTGTAAGACGTAATAAGACACACTCTGGCACAGACGTCCAGTCTGCACGCTGGAATACACGCTATTATCTCATGACCGTGACGCAGCTTCAAAAATTCGTTTTAAACAGGAAGTACGAATTTGCTTGAAATAACGCAAAAACAACCAATTTACACTTTTTAGTGAAATATAGGTGTCCTAATAGTGTTTTTAGCAGTGTGGGACACATATACCACTGTCAACAGCTCAACACATGTGTTCTGGTGTTTCGTGACCCTTTAAAAACCCACTGTCTGCTCCAAC